ATATATATATATATATATATATATATATATATATATATATATATATATATATATATATATATATGTTTGGACAGGCCTTTCAGAATCTGTCCATTTATGAATCCATACTGTGATTCACTTAGTAGCATCTAAGTCCGGGGTTGCAAATGACGTCATTGTGACGAAAATACCCTCCCTGCGTACAAATATATGAATGAACTGACGCAGGTATACCTGGAAAACGGCAAGGATCGCCTAGTCATTGGTATACTGCTTAGTGTAATATATATAGCAATAAGTAGTACATGAATGACATCTTCAATAAAAGGATGCCTTTGGGACTGATTCGGAACAAATTAGGAGGATAGCAACTGTCGATCCCATCATTGTGAAACGTATTGCTTACTACTACTTATTACTCACTACAGAAAATGTTCTTTGCGCCGATCGGTTACATTCACCTCAAGTGCTCTCACCTAAAGGAACTGCGAAGTCTAAGCACCATGTAAATGGCACAAGAATGCAGTGACTTAATGGTATGTCCTCTTCCTCCAACGTCAATCGGAGCGCTTTGTCATCCATTGTGGCAATTATTTTCTATGGTGGAAAGTTAAACGTTGCAAGGCTTTGTAGGATTGTTTCTGTCAGGTAAACATACAAAATGAAAATTTCTGATGGATCCGCATCATGGTCTCCAATTTGAACGAACTATCCTCATCACGGAATACGAAGGCAGCTTGAGTCACGCATAGGGTCGTTTGGAAGACTGATCTGTTTGTAATTGACCTTGACAGTAAAGTTCCTCTAGCTAGTTAGGCTGGCAGCTGAGGGCTTCCCAATAAAAACTGACATTCACAGGAGCACGTAAGAATTTTCTGGTTAGAATATCTCTATATCACGGATTGATGTTGAGCGAAAAGCAAAAACACCGACGTTGGTAACGGGGGCGCGCGTCACGAGGAACATTTAACATGGAGCTCATATTGTTCAGACCGAATCTGGGCAAACAAAAACAATGTTTAAGCGATTGCCATGGTTGCCTGCAACTTGGCAAGCTCGCGATTGACAGTTTTCACAAGATAGCGTTTGTAGGAGAATATATCACCATCCCATGGAGTGATCGTTTGGTTTTCACAGACCCAGATTTCTTTGGCCACCTGAAAATGAGCGAGAACGGTTTTTTGTTAAATCAACATCGCAGAACAGTTTGAACAGTGTAAGAAAAATTCTGAATCAAGAATTTAATGGTAGCAATTGATTACCCGCATCACAAACAAGACCGTTTAGGGATAGACACACCACTTCTCAAAGAACAAGGTGATATTCGGAATATATACTACACTTTCACTAAAGCATGATGTCTAAAAAGAGAGACCGCTTCCATACATCCCGTTGCTGTGCTTCAATGTCTTAGTATTCGGGTGGTTCTTATTCACTGCACGCTATTTCGCTTCTTTCCTCCCATAAGCCTGGATTTACAAAAATTTGGATCTCCCGGGTTGCATTGATCGGCTTTAATGGAGCGCACAAATCCACATTGTTGAAAGCGATCACAGCTGACGGCTCACTACCACCCCAGTTCATTTTCGTTTCTCGCTCGCAACCTGATTTGCCGGGTGCTGTTCGATTTCATCACGTTCGCCGCAGATATACACGCACACACACCACTTCTATACATACTGTTCTGAAAATCTACAACAACATTCAAAAACAGCGAGAAATTTGTATCTCAGATTCGGGAACTGTCGTCTTCTTATGAATAATTCGAAAATAATATAAACAAACCAAAACAAAGTCGGCATTACCAAGCTAATGAACCAGCGATGAAAAGTTCCGTGTGCACTAGGCTGTCTGCACGCTTGGGTACCGATTTCGCCATTGGGAATCACACCAGAATAAGTATGCTGTTCTGTTGTAGGTAACGGAACCTTCGCAGATGGGACTCAATTGCATGAATCGGAAGAAGTTTTTTATGGCACATCAGTGTATGAGGTACAGCAGACGGGGCGGACACCATAGTC